CCGGTGTGGGCTAACAACTCCTCACGGTTAATTCGTTATAGCCTCAGCCCTAAAGCCAAGTATATTTATGACGTCACTGCCATTTGTTTCCCCTTTTTTGTACACTGAACAAGAAAATAAGAATTACTTTTAACAGAAGTTAACGAGTACTGAACTTTATTCTGGCATGAACTTAAGATCTACCAGACATGAACAGAGTAATATTTATTTTTGTTTCCACTTTTGGTGAGTTAACAGCAAAACCAAACAAACATGTATGCGTTCATATGCCGGATTTTCGTGAAAGTTCATAATGTGGGATTTCTCTAAAATGTGTTGACACATTCTAGTCTTGATTAAAATTTGACAGCAATAACGGGCACTTTATATGAAGACACACATCGCGTTTCTGTGCGTCCAAGTAACTGGGTGGGTAATCTCCAGGCTACTTTGGTTACTTAGAGTGAAAAGGTCAAAGGTCGAATCCTGGCAAATGCTCTAGAACTGCTAGGCTCTGCATATATGTTCTAACTTATTTTTGTAGAGGTTTGCATTGAGAAATGTCAATGGCACATCTTATCAAGACACGACTTGTTGAACACATGAAGTCATTATGGCGGAAGTGGTTATTCAAAGTTTGAAGTTCACGTGATTTGATGCTGGAGTGTTTCCGGTTTGTTACTCACTAGTGTTAAATTTAACCTAGCAAATAATCACCTGCCAGTGATTATCACCAGCTCACATTTACATGAACCTGTATTCTCGTGTCTGCATTTTGAAAGTATCAAGAAACAGCCAGAAATGTGGATTCAAATTTTCTTCACAACTAATTACATGTGAAACAAATAAAATGCATAATGCCAACTGTTCTGTTGCCTATACTCAAACGTGTTACGACTAAAAATTCTTAAGGCAGTTGAAGGTAGTAAGATTTCAGAAATGACATCAAAATTTTAGAATACGTCCAAATTAGATAAATACGTAAGCTTCATATGTAACTAGTAACTTCCAGTTAATCAATCCTGTTATCCTCGAGGATCATTAATCTGCGAAGTACAGATATCTCCTTAAAGACAAGCATGTGATACTTGACATAGTTGGTTATGGCACAGATGAATCCAAGTTCGTGTTTACGCGAGTCCAAAGTCATCACAGGTAACGAAGAGCGACTTGCTGTACCCCTAAAATTAAAGCCTATAAAGGAATGATCCCATTCACACAATCTGAATGCAAAAACACGGGCATTAATAACAAAAACGTGCATTCATGTCAAATCCGCAAAGGACGCGTGTACATTAAAAAACCTTGGGCTACTAAAGCAGCGTTTGCAAGTGGTCTCAGCATTGTTATGCAGGTTCGTAGAGGGTATCATCGACACTACAGGCTCAGAAAGGATATTATCAATATATAACCTACGGGATATGCCACGGTGGTCTAGCGGTTAGAACGCTGGCCTTGCAATCCTGGGGTCTCGGGATAGATTCCCGGCAGTGCCCGAATTTATAACTTGTGTTGGGCAAGGTCGTGGTCTAGGCAACACGGAGTTTTCCTCCGGGGGCTTCCCCGGTTTCTCCGTGGCATCCCAACAATTACTCCATTCACACACAGAAGAAGGCAATGGCAAACCACTTCTGGATCATCTGCCAAGAACGTATATGAACAGGTCCCAGTCCGAGAAAAGGATGGAAGGATCCTGTTCATATGGACCTGTCGTCAGACAGAACACTAAATAAATAAATAACCTACGGGATACGGTATTTCGTTAGCATTACTGTCTTGTATTGAAGTGGTCCGGTGTCTCGTGTTCGTTTGTAGGCTTGGAGGTCGGCGATCCTGACGGAGGGGTTGTCACAGTGTTCAAAACCTCAAGGATTCTAGCCCCTTAACACAATGGCTCTCAATATGGCCACCGGGGGTTTAACAAGTATAAATTTCAGTATCAACAGAATCGACGGTGGACTCTGAGCCTTCACAGAGTGAAATATGTATTTCGAACAGATGCATGCGATTTGTGAGCCATCGAGTATCACGCGATTAACGCTGGAAGAGATTTTTTTTACCAGTATTGGTTAGGAGTCATCGGTGGATCTCGGCACGAAATTTACTCCCGGAAAAAATCGCTTGGGGGTGTTAAGGGTTGCAACTCGAGTGATCAAAAGTTGTTCTTGTAACACATTACTAAATGGCGTGGCAAATACCACACTTGCTTTCTATGATGGATCTCGAGACGTTCCACGTTTTCCTCATTTAATCCAAGCAAATTCGTGGATAGCAGCCTACCTCAAAACAGGGCATAGACACTTCTTTCAATTTTCCTTTTAAAGTCAACATTCACATTTATCAAATAATGTCATTTTTACCGATGCATATGAGAAGTGCACAGGAATTATTCGTTTCTCACGAACTTGACTGCATCTCGGTTCGCTAAATTCCACGAACTATTTGTACACCATATGATCTCAGGGGCTGATTGGAGAGTGAAGAATTAAAAATAAACAGGACTTTAATACTGTAAAGTTTCTAAAATAGATTCATGAGGTTGGAGGATGAAATCCAGAACCTAGTCAGTTCAAATGTCGTTGTAATAATTTTTAATTCTAAAACAGTTTCATAAATTAGATCGCTGTTCCCTAGTTTTGGGTCACAAACCATAACCACAAAATCACCTACCAGCAAACACTGTGACGATCCTTGTATGAATCACAGACTCAAGGACAACTTGGAATTGCAATAGGAAAGTCCTAGGTTGGATATTAAAATGCGTAAAACCGCTTCCATAGCTTTCCTTCCCGATTCATGATTTATATTCGTCTACAAACGAAGCAAGACAATGGAGAGCGAGAGACCATAGAATAATCTTTTTTCACGAGGTCACGATCACGATGACACAACGTGATAGATACTGAATGACATTCAAGAACCACATTTATACACGAATTCTGATTGGCCTTATTACAACACTATCTATGACAAACAAGAAATTTTCACGGCATTCTATTCGACCGATCACGTGATAAACAGGTTGGCCCTGTGTGTGTCTATATCACAAGTCAACAAAACAAGTGCGAGCTTTGAACCTGCGTGGAGTTATGACCAACAACACGTATGACGGTAATTACAGAGGCCACTAAATCGAGCTGTTGCGTCAAACGGATGTTTCTTTACTCGGAAATGAATTTTTACTTACAGGGTCAACTGTGTTGCAATTTGGTGCGCATCCACGTGTCATGACTAACGCTGGTGGGGGCTTAATGCTCAGAGAATGGAGTTTTTTTTAGTTAGTGTTCTGCCTGACGACAGGTCCATATGAACAGGATCCTTCCATCCTTTTCTCGGACTGGGACCTGTTCATATACGTTCTTGGCAGATGATCCAGAAGTGGTTTGCCATTGCCTTCTTCTGTGTGTGAATGGAGTAATTGTTGGGATTCCCCGGAGGAAAACTCCGTGTTGCCTAGACCACGGCCTTGCCCAACACAAGTTATAAATTCGGGCACCGCCGGGAATCGAACCCGAGACCCCAGGATTACAAGGCCAGCGTTCTGACCGCTAGACCACCGTGAGAGAAGAGAGTAAACAAGCTAAATTAATTTATATCAAATCTAAAACTTCTTGACGATGGTGAAGAGTCAATTGAATAAAAATTAATTTACTGTCTGAACGTGATGGTTAATTAAAGGCGAATATGTTTCCTTCTTTTTTATGTTTTCCTTTCTTACAGAAGAAAAACTCAGATAACAACGCCCGTGTGTGTGTTCCTCTTTTAACTTTCAAACCAACTGACCGATTTTCACCAAAAGGCACAAACATTACGCCAACCAAGTCCACTTCAATCTCGTATCCAAGACTCAGCCAATTTCAAGGTAATATCATGGCATTCAGCTAGAAGGGCTAAAAAAGATCCATAGACAATTAATAAACACCTAAGAGACGTTCACGTGTATTAATTTCCACGTTTGAAAGTTTCCCAACAAATTAAATGGTCCATTATAACCACATTAATTTTTCTACAACTGTGACTACTCTACATTCAACTCGAAACAAGTGCATGTGAAAAACAGGAAAATGTCATTCATCAGTTAAGTTAACTTCCTGTTCCTGCAAAAGATAATCTTGTTTCTTTTCTTGTTGGCCTTCAGAAGCGATTCATCAAACACTTGTGACCAGTCCTCGGTAAATTAATTCATATGAACAAATCTGTTGTTTAATTCTTTGAATTCAAGGCCAATCAATGAAACTGCTACGCATTAAATAACGCTTGGGTGTGTGTGTGATACACGCAGATGGTACAGGAGAAAGGAAGTGCCTGTGCTAGGAGATGGCACTGGTACCGGATGTCAGCTGGTACTTCCAGAAGACTGGATACGGGTACAACTGATCGCAATTTCTGCATGCATCGAACTGGGATGAAATTGGAAACCAATCTCATACTCCTGACTGAGAACAAAGTGTTGGCCGAGCTAATACGGACAACACGAACCATCCGCCCCTGAAACGATAGGAACCCAGTTCGATTTTCAGTTGGTGTACCCTATGTCTGAAGTTTTCCACGGTTTCTAAACGTTTCCAGAAGAATGTTGGTTTTTGTACTTCGAAATGGGTCACGACTGTCCATTTCTGATGTTATATTTATCCTCCCATCACTGAATAATGTTTACATTCAACACGCTGACTGGGCGTGGCAGTGGGAGTTCTGTAAGCCGACCTAACAGAAACTGTGAAAAAAAAAGTTTTCACACCGTTTCTAACACCCCCCCCCCAAAAAAAAACATAGCAGCGGCTGTACAATATAAAGTATTTTGTTTACAAAATGCATTACAACTCGGGCAGCCAGTTCCTAGACACAGAAAAGAGAAAAATACGTCATCAAGGTCGGTTTTTTTCTAGACGGAACACGACATCGATGTTCGTCTTCTGTTTTTAATACCGAAGCCATACTGGAAAATACCGACGTTTCGGGAAAACATGTTACATCCATTTCAGTGCCGTATATTCTTTCGAAACACTGATAACTACCTTCAAGTCCATACGACATCATAACCCAGAAGACGAACATCGATGTCTTTACCGCCTTAAGAACTTCTTATCTCATGAAACAACATGACATACAATGTGGTCTTGTTTTGGTTGTCACAAATTCAAGATAAGTTTGTCCAATGACAGAGACTAGCTCTTTCAAAGGGACCCAACACAGTAGGTACCTCACACCTGAAGACGGAGACAGAACCAGCCTCCGAAACGTAGTGAATTTAAAAAAAAAGACGATGGAAAAAGTCCCAACAACAAATAATTTTAAGTGTAAACTACCGTTGTCAAAACCCTTTAGAATTGAATCAAGTTATAAACTGACGGAGAAATTTCGCGGCGACTTTAGCTGATGAAAGATTCCCGGGTTAGAAGCCGCGTCTGGTGGCTGCTGGGTGACAAATCTGATCCTTTGTTGCGCCCTAAGGATGAGAGCAGAGATTGTTCTCGAAACGTTGGCAGAATATATGGTTTATTCACCGTTCAGCCACCTGTCGCGGCTTGTAACCCGAGAATCTTTAATCAATTTACATTCTGTTTCGACTGTTCGTATATTTGCATGAACAGTGCGTTCACTGACCAATTTGAACGCAAATGTCACTTCCCAGCTCCCAGTAGGAAATGCCATAAGAAAAGATAAGCTGGTTTTATTGTATTAAAACTCCTGTTATGGTTTTACGCAGTGTTGGAATGTAGTAGAAGAGTACAGATAAATTATAGTGGCTAGTTATTTTAAGGTGACTACACTGGCGATTACTTTCAAAGACTGGGGATACGCAGCAAGCATGAAACGACCGATATGTAAATCCAGGTTTGCTTCTCATTTTTAAACATTCATTCCAATGACTTATTTCAAAAACAAACCACTCGTTTACAAACCAGTGAATGCAATGTCCTATTACCTCTGTGATTAACTAATTGTGCAGTAAATCTCTGAAATATGTCTATATTCACCTGCTGCATAAGATCTCTGCTAACGTAGAGTCTACCGTTGACATAAACATGTAGCCCTATGCTTTAAGAACCGTGCCATTAAGACGCGAGGGCTAGCTCATCAGCAAATTTGATTGGCTGGGGTTCGAAACGAACATTGAAAGGCAGTATCAAAGCAATGTTACTTGCATAACGTTTCCAATATAAAATGTATGTTTCGATAAACAAACGTTTGTTATACAGTAAAATAATAATCAGAAATAATGTGGTAACAATTTATCACGAGTAAATCCATTTGAATTGAAATATTACTGTGTATTATGGTAACTTCTATAAATATATATATAAAAAAATGTACAAAACATTGGTTAACAATTATCAGATACTGTCAGTTTTCTCCATGCAACGACTTAAACATATTATGTTTCAAATGCTTTAGATCCGAAATATGCTATTAGGATAACTGGTCTGGATTCATAACACAACTGTTATCGCTCTGTGCCCTCGGAAAGACAAAAAAAAAAGGTATCTTCTACTTTACTGAATACCTTCTCTCTGTTATGACACCCCTTTGTATATACTTTTTCAAAAGGAATGTATGGCACTTTTTGACACTTGATATTGATTTTATGCGAACAGCAATAAATACTGTTCCCATGTCAAATTGGAATTATCGATCTGCGAAACTTCTTAAAGCGTTAACATGTTCTACAAATGATGTGTATTTACCTGTAATTTGGGTTAATAATATGCGACAGCTTTGTAGTATCTTCTAGGAAACTGTCAAACTGCACGGCTGAACGAAACTAACTCCTACTTCTAACAACGCTAGTGCTATAACAACACACACCGACACGCGCAAGATATAGTCTATGAGTATTTAGTTGATTCGATTTCCACAAGATGGTGTTAATTCACGGTACAGAACATGCACTCATTTTTTTTTATATTGCAGGAGACCGCCGATGAGCAGCAGCAGTGTAGCCGGTGGCGGCTATTTGAAACGACTGACAAAATATCCCTACCTAAACAGCTCCCTTAATAATAAACTTTCCCTTTTTTGACACACATATATACAAACTAAATGTAATCACATTTCATTGCATGCAGCTGTGAAACAAAAGTCAGGGTGCGTCACATTAAAAAATATATAGACAAACAGTAAATTTACAGAACACAGGTTTTGGTCTCTTATTAAACCTTGTTACAGAAAAATAACATATTATCTCCATAATTCAGAGGGGTTACATTGAACATTAAAGTTCCATAAATTTTTAGCCTGCAATTTGGATCTTCTTTAACTTGGACAAGAATATACATTATTCAGAACACTTAATTTTCATGCAGTGCGAACATAGCATAAATTTAAACAGCTGGCAAATAAAAGGTAATGAACCAACTCCCTGGTAGCAGAACCTGCAGGTCCAAAACCACACCAAAGCCTACCACCAGAAAAATATAAAGTGGTGTCAAAATTAAGGAACATGCACCAGTATAATTATGAATGTGCTAAACATTAGCATTCACTTCTATTGTAACTAAATTTAATTTTAAAGAACTTTCAAAGTAATAAACTGCCTCATAAATAGAACAAAACTGGTTCTGCAGAAACCAGAATATTCTGTTGAAGTTAGTGACAAGGGCATCTACAGTGAGAATATTTGGTGGCTGTCACTAGGACTAGAACATGCAGCAACCAATGCAGTGATCAGGTGCAGCACAAAGGCCACACCATCATGCTCCCCTACTGCTATTTACTTCAAAATACCCGAGAAAATGCAAACTGCTTTTAGAACATATGACCATACAAATCTAGCTTCAACACAGCCTTGATGTAAACAATCTTACAGTAAAGTTATTCCTGTACTCTCATAATACAAATGATTCTGAAATACGTAGACCCACACCCCAACACTGAAAATATGGTTTTTCTTGTAATTCACAAACACTTTCAATAGGCCAGCTCTGATGAAGACAACATTTTATTCTGGCAATGCTACATTTCATAACTGGCCAGTTTAATTTAACCATTTATTTTATAGAAGTGTGAAAATAATGCATTTATTCAAAAAGAGATTATGGACAAAACAGAAAGGTAGAAAATTAAAAAAATTTGATACTGGTACAATGATTTTATTGTACTTTACCATAGAAGTGGCAGTGCAAATTCCTGAATTGCTAGACACAAACTACACACTACTTTTGCAGAAATACAGCTCAAAATATCAACGTGCAGTTAAGAAAATCATAATAAATGTAAAATTGTTCCAAGGCTTCATTATTCTCAGAACAGCTGCAGTGTCGGAAAGGTGCTAACTGCTGAAGTCATCAGCTGCCACTTCTAGAGTTGAACACAACCTTTGGAGTAATATGACAACAGTAAAGAAATGTTTCAAAATTTAGTATAAATCTAAAACATACCCAAAATTTAACCAAACTGCTGTCCAAACTTATGTTGTGTAGTAGTTTTACATACTGTAGCTTTTCACCAAGTATGCAAAAATGAAAATGCCAGTATCAAAGACATGATATTATGGAAGTATATAACATATACAGCAGTTTTATAGCTAAGCTAAGCTGTATATACAGCACGGCTTAGCTATAAAACTGCCTCCATATAATCAATTTGGGGTTTATCAAGAGTTTTAATATTAATGAATGTTGTTGCCCCAGGAAAAGTGCAGCCCCAAAGTATGATGTGTATAACATTAAAAAATCGAAGTCAGGAAAGATAATTTTACACAACAAATAAAACCTTCACTTGTATCATATTTCAGTAGCCTTGTTAGAAATAACCTCCAGTAATTTGAAACATCAGATGCAAGACAATAAGAAAAATGTTCACACCTACACTGAAAGTAATAATACATGGTAAGGAAACACCACTAAAACATTTTTAAAGTTTCTGTCTGTTTATATGAAACAATATTTAGAGAAGGTACAGAAGTTTCCAAACTTACCTACCACACAAAACATACATGATGATGACAATATTAACACATATCATTTTCAAATTTTAAAAATATTCTTGCATGGTTTTCCAACATGCTTCCTAAATCATAGCATAGTATGCCAGGGTACGCATGGATACTTGAATATTAAACATCACTATGCAGGCTGCTTCAGAATACAATTTTATCCACCCGTTTTTCTAAAAGAACTGAACAGTATCACAATATAAATTGTGTAAAATGGGTCCCAATTTCAGAAAATCTAACAAATTTATCTTTCAGAAGCAGCAAACACATGAATGATAAACGATATACATCCAAGACATTTGATGCACCAGAATGAGCACTACTATTTCTTTTGTTTATGCACATTCAAACTTTTTTCCCCAATTTCCAACACATTATATCTACGGCAATGACAGTAATTAACATACTTTGAGACACAGTGATAAAAGTATGTTTCCAAGCCATGCCACCAGACTACTTGAACTACTATCCCATAAAGAGCATAAGAAATGACCATTGCTATTATATATTATGTAGTGCAAGATTCTTTGTCTGGGCTTAATCTAACAAGGCAGCTGCAAGTGCAAAACACTTTATCTTTGGTGTCAAATCTCCAGAACATAATCTACATCCAATATACAATTTAATGTACATTTTGATCCATTAGGTATATAAATTACCTACAATAAAGCTGAATTACTTTACACAAAAATTTTGTAGATATTACAGGAATGTTCTCATAATATAAATTTTTATGATGTTGGCAACAGCTTCACATATTTATTTCAGAAGAGGCCATCCCTACGCAATTTAATAACAGACTGCCCTTGCTTTCCACTTCATTAACTTTAACCTGCTCAATGCACTACAAGAACCGCCTACTAGAAATGCACATTACGCACACTAGCTAAATATGTTCCTTGAACAGTTTGTATATAAACTGAAAACTTTGTTTCAGAAGAGCACATATTAAAATTGTATCATAACAAGTATAACATTGTGGCTATTCTGTTACTATGCAGATGCCAGTTTTGTGAACAAGACTTAATTTGTATATCCAGTTCATTTGATGTGTGAAGAGTAATTTAATTTTTGCCTAAACATGCAGAGGTTCCAGCTCCACAAGAGACATCACTTATTTTATAACCAAATAATACATTACAACACACATATGTTTCTGAACTCCTTGATCTGAAACATGTCTAAAACATTGATTATGAAACACACTACTTACTTTCAATAAATGATGCTAATGACACTGAATGCTGTATTCATTTAATCATGGCAAGTGGTAATACGATTTAAGGTTCAGTGTAATCATTACACCTAGATTCATGTAATGAATCTAGGATGGGGGTTGGTCGCAAGGCTAACAACCTTGCACCATAAAAAGGAAGATGTTTCGAAACCTCAATCAAAGCCTCGGACAGACGGACCCAACAGAGGACCGAATGGAAGAGGAGAATTGAGGAGGCCATGGACCGAATACGGACAGGAGAGCCATAGAAGAAGAAGATTCATATAAAATAGTAATGCATTTGTTTCATAGTTTATGCTATGCAGTGTATCATGTGCACCCATAAAACTATTTACAAATGTTACAGTTTCAGTGAAAATTACATCAAATAAGTCTACCAAAAACCAACTATATAGCTGCACTCTGAAACCTTCATTCAGTAGTTATCTGCAGATGATACAGTGAAGGAAAAACATGGAGCCTACAAGCTTTTTAAATACAAGTAGTACTAAAAGTGGGAAGACACAGCAAGTTAGAGTACTTTGCTGGGGGGGGAAACAACTCTAGTTCAAGCAAAAATATAACAGTCCAGGGTTTTAGTATTAAGTATTCTATTCCACTAAATGGTATGGAAAAGGAATTACTGTTATTACAGTGAACCTTAAACCTGCACCATGGCACATACAATTTTACCAAGCGCAAAATCTATCTCATCCTACAATGGAAAATCACAGTATCAGTAAAGTCCTGACATGTATAATTATTCTGCTGGACTTTTTACATGATCTAAAAGCATGATGTTCTGGAAGTTGGTTCAGGGAAATGATTGGAGGACAAACCCTTATTCTGTAGAGTCCATGGTCAAGCTAGTCTCAACCTTGGTCCAAGGTAGGGACCAGCTTCATCCAGTACTAAGACTATGTCAACCATGGAGCCAAACAGAGAGGGTAGGGTGTATCTTCCTGCTGGCCATGTTAAGAAGGAAGTAGAACTGACATCTAAAACATCATAGTTTTTAACAAGAAACACTTGGACAACAAATAAAATCCAAGAGAATGATTATACATATTGTACACAAATGCCAGAAATCATTAAACTCAACAATCCTGATATATGCTCTTCTCCCACAAATCTTTCAGCAATATTTTTAAGAAAATGAGTAACTATATATTTGTAAGATTTGAAGTTATCAAAGTGGTGAGTATGAAGATTTCTGTTTTCTCGGTTGTTGCGCTGTGTAGTCTGGTTGATGTTAACCAACGTTTCAGAGGTCATACTGCCTCCGTCATCAAGGCGATTCATTGTTGATTAACATCGACCAGACTATACAATGCAACAACCTAGAAGATAGAAATCTTCAACTATATATTTGTTATAACTACTGCTGAACTATATAAGCAGTGACAAAAAAGACGACAAACACAATGTTCCAAATTAGGAAATAGCTCAAGAAATGAGCTTATTTCCAATGGGCCCTTGAATTAATTCAGAGTTAATGCTTTTACATATAAACAAATGTATTCATTTGTGTGCAGTTTATAACTAAATGTAAGACCTATGCATTTTTACAATATCACAAAAGAATTATTGATCAAAACATTTACACATACACTGCAAGGATAATTACTCTACATCTGAGTATGACTAAGCAATCCCAAGATTTCATGTCTACAACAGACAAAACAATTTAAAATGGACAAAGTTCACTAAAGGCATAAATTGGAATTCTTTCAGTTGAAACCTGGTAGTTACAGATGTATTTTAACTACTGCAACCTCCACTAATTATACAATATTTATGCAAGTAGCAAAAATCTTGGGACATATGCAGCATATCTTATCCACATATTAAACAAAATTGCATTTGTGAAATATAAGTAAATAACAATGTGTATTTCTTTAGGATATATCAAGTATATAAGGAGAAGAGAATATAGGTAAAGAGTTTATTAAAATAAACTATTTTCACAAAAATGGGAAAGCAGTTCCAGTATAATAAGCAAGGGGGGGGAGTTATTACACAATAAAGCAAAACAGCTGGAAGTATGAGAAGAACTATCAGAATACCCAGTCAGTCTTTTAACAAATGCATTGAAAATAAAATTCTGCACGTAGCATACCATTTATAAATAACAGGAATTACATGAAACTAGCAATAAGTTCTGCTGCCCTAGTATGTTAACAGAATCAAATAATTAGCTCATACACCTTGAAGGAAGGTTGATGGTTTGGGAAGAGGCAAATTTCTGGTGGCATGTTATTCTCCATTAACATACATCGCTGACATCACACTTAATGGTGAGGGAAGAGAGGAAATGTATATGATGGTTAACAAAATATGTATAAGAACAAACCATTTGAAAACTTTTAATAAAACATTTGGAAGAAACACAAGGAACCATTCCTGGCTTGGTGTATGGCAAGGCCTACCTTATTTCTCTTCCATATCAATAAGTAAAAAAGAAGCCTCTGCTGTCTATTATCTAAGATATGTGAAATGCTTTCCTTTTCCTATTTATACATAATATGGATATTATTAATTCATTATACCAGCACATAGCGCAGAACATAATAAACAGAAACGTACATTTCAAAGAACAATACGTATGCTACTACTGAGAATCACGTAAGACCTAAAGAAATGCAATTAGTTTTTTCTAAGAGATGATCTAAAATTTGTTAAGAACCAATATATTATGTTAATGGACAACTGTGAAATGGAAGTGGTATCAAGACAGGTCTCTTGTATCCAAATTAAAATTAAAATATATCTGATATTACAAAATCATGAATTGTCCATTACAAAAGAAAAGCAAATAAAAGGAAAGTGACAATTCAAATTCCAGACAGAGCCTTCTATAAATTCTCCACCACAAATTACATCCTAAAAGCTTATTATTACATGAACAGGACATGAATAAACAAAAGAAACAATAGTGCACAATCTGAGTCTTCTATTGTACACAATGATTGGCAATCCAGCAGCCCAGTCTCACATCTACGAGTTATACACTTTCTGGAGCAACCAATTAAGGGAGGGATAGGGACCACTGAAACTTGATACAGAACCATCTTGCTTTGTGTTCTTTCCTAACATACACCCACTTTATCATCACTGACACCCAAC